TTATCATCTAGTTGAGAGAAACTGGCACTAAGCCAGCTGTCTCCTTTACCAACTGTCTCTGACAATGAAAGAGTGACAAATTGGTGGTCAGATCTGGCAGTTGGTGTCAGGAAGCTGCTTGTCCTGGCTGCCTTCCTAACAAATGGTGTGACCAACACTGAACTGAAGGGTTTGGGACTTTTGTCTAGGGACTATTTGTCAAGATTGGCAAGGTGTTCTCTGTAATTAGCTATTGACCTTTGACCTTCTGATCCATTCAGTCATCTGTTAGCTTATATCCTACGCAGACTTTGTATTTATGCATTTTGTTATGATTCCTTTATTTAGAAAAGAGTAAAATTTTCTTTGGGAAGACTGGAAGGATGTCAGTTTAAGGTTTTGGAGAGCAGTATGAATCTCTTCATAGTTGAAGCTAGTTTTAAATAACAAGATGTTGAAGTTCCTTTGGGCTTTGTTCTATTTAATTTTTAAAAGTATTATAGGTTCAGGTAAAACCATTTGGTAATAAGTTTTTGTAGGGATACCCAATACAAAATGGTTTTTGTAGGGATACCTGATTTAAAACATGCCCTGAAGAAACCCAGGAGGGAGCCATTTTCCCATACTTATAGGTTGCATGATCATTTTCTCTTATTCTCTGATCAAAAGATCTAAGAAAGGCAGACCATAGTAAAATTTGCTGGCAACTATAAAACACAGGCTAACTTTGTTCCAAATGAAAATACCTATTATCTGAACTTATTCCTTATTGAAGAACAATCCATATTTTAGTCCAATTCCTAACTCTTCTGTGAGGACAGAACTTAAGGAATGAAGTTCACGACCCATCAAAGCAGACTTTTTCTAGGTTTACAGTTAAGAATAGTCTGAGGAGCCTATTTAGGTTTTCTGCTCTGTGATATTTAACCATTCTCAATGCTGTCTGGAGTGCATACCCTCTTCCTTGGTTATGCAGAAAAGACAGTTTATAGGTGATGCACAAAGCAGCAGGGAAAAGTATTGGCCTCTTCCTGAATAACGGTCTTCACTGTTAGCTTGCTCATTGCTTAGCCTGTGGCTTCTGAACTTGCTGAATCTGCTTCATCCTAAGAGAAGCTGCCAAAAAAATGCTTCCCCGCTATGTGTCTGCAATCTTGGGTAGATCAGGAGTCCTATCCCAAGTAGCTTCAAAATACTTACAGATTTTTCCAGGAGCTTTTAAAATGTTCATGTTGAAGAACATGTCCCGTATTTAATATGATATCTTGTCTACAACTTATTCATGACTTTCCCTGGGAAATTTCATTTTTATCCTCCTTAATATAATGGTCCTTCTCCTTTTGAAGTTTCTAAGAAGCAGTATTTGCCAGCTCTTCAAAAGAGTTCTAATATGGGTACAGCTTCCTGAAAGTAATTTGGCACCAATTATGTGGACTATTCCAGACTTGCACTTGAGGCAGGGGGAAGAAGGTGTAAGAGGGGAAGAGAGAAAGGGAGGCAAGTGAAAGCTACGTAAATAGGAAGGAAAGCAAGAGGGAATGAATTAACAGGTGGGATGCAGAGAGAAACATGCAACTTGGGCGGTCTGGGCTGGGAAGAGAGGAGCACTGAGGAATTCGGAGTAAACAGCCGTCAAAAAGAGGGAGTATTTTATATAGTATGATGACTCTGCTAGAGGTTGTGTAGGAGAATCACTGTCTCTGCACTGACTTCCAATATATTGTCTCCAGAAACAGTTACTTTATGTTCTCACATAGAACATGCCCCAGAATGAGGTGGGCACTTTGTTTCTGAAAGGCAGAATGAATGAAAAAAAATCTTTCCTTGTATTTAGTACCTGAGAAGCAGCAGCTAGGAAGCAGAGCCTGATCATTGTTCTGCTCCTTGTGGATTATGTGCAGAATGTAACTTTGCTTTTGTCCGCTAAACAGCAGAAACTGTTCTTACGGTATTTTTTTATATATAATTCAGGGGTTGTCATTTGTGGTATGCTTGGGTGGGCAGGGACAGAACGCTGCCACACACCATCCTGTGCTGCCACATAGGCACCACCTGCCTGACTAGATGCGGGGAAAGCTTGTACACAGCAGCTGCTTGTCGCTCCACATTTGGCTGTGTTTCCCCCTCCCCCCACCACCACCTTCATGTCCGGCCACCAGGGGTACACTGATCCAAAAAGGTTGAAAACCCCTGATATATTATGTACTTAGTTTTTTGGAAAAAGTGTCTTATGCAATAAAAAAACAGTATTTCTTCTTTCTTGTCCCTCTTCCTTCTTCATTTCTTCAGAGGTCCTGTGCTTTTTGAGACAAGCTACAACTGAAGGCCTAGCGTCAGTCCATTCTGATTAATTATTCTGGGTGAAAGACAAATACAGTGTCACCTAATGATTTTGATAATTGACTAGTTACAGTAGTTCTGAGATTCCGGTGGCATGGTGTGTGGCTCTTGAGACATTGTTAAATGGCTCAAATCATTGGGAATCATGATGGTTTTTCTGTTTGTTTCATTGACTGTAATGAGATGTGTACCTGAAATGCTGTCACCATTAGGTCACCTTCATGGGTATCATTGGTATTTATTGCACTAAAATATTTACTCAATTAATATTTACCTTCAGTATGTTTAGTAGAGGCAGCAATCATGAGAAAAAGTGCTCTCCCATTTTTATTTTCTGCATGTGCATGCTTATAAAACTGTCCTTCCTTCACCCATAGCAGAAGTAGAATGCATATGGTGAGCTTTATACATTAGTCAAAAGAATCGATTAAAGTAATGCAAGGAGCTTTAATAGTGTTGGTTGTTTTAAGAGTACTGACTCAAAGATGGTTTTTGCATGAGAAAATCTGAGGATTGGCCTAGGTCATTGGTTTTCAACCTTTAGACTTGAGGCATCCCTGATGAGAGTTGGGTCATCCTCTTGGAAAATGCCAGCTCTTAGCTTTCAATTGTTTTTTGACTGTGGAAAAATAATAAAGCAATTTTTCTGTTGCAAAGAACTCAAAAAAGCCACAGCAGGTCAGAATGTTTTTAACACCATGAATTCCTGTTTGAAATCCCTAAGTTAATCTTTTGAATTATGTTTGCACATCTAACAATGCTAACATTGCATGGTACCCTGGAGAGGATCTCAAAGCACAGCACAATGCTGTGGAACCCTGGTTGAAAATCACTGGCATGGGTTCTCACAGTAATAGAGAATGACAGACCCTTGTCACGATGCCAGACCTCAGCCAAGATGTGTGTACACAGCTTTCTGATGTCATGATTTGGAGCTTTACATATCCTCAAGTTGAAGCTTGAAAATCATTTTATCTTTGAGTAGAAACATTTTTTCTTAAACCTGTTAGTTCTAAATGCAGAACTCTTACATGAAGATTATTAAATTAAAACTTTTGAACACCTTTAACTATTCTTTGTAGTACATTTTAAATGAGATGACAGCTGGAAGTTGGTACCATTTAGCACCCAGAATGTTGACTCTTAAACATCATTTCACCACTGGATTCAGATACTGGGATTATAATCACAATTTTTTTTACCTTTTGCAGCAGCAACCTCACCACCAACCAAAGGATAGGTTATTGTTAGCTAAAAAGAACTTTAGAGCAAAAAACTCGCACCATATACTCTAGCAGGACATTTTAACCTATGTATGGCACGAAGGTTTCATTTTCATACTTCCAAGTGATATTTTCTTTTCTTTATATTGATTAAAAATTGGTTTGTCTCCCAACAAAAAAATAGTTGAGTGTGATCAGCAAGAATTATTTGAATATTTCTTTATATATTTGTGATGCCTTTTTTTATCTCTAGTAGCTGCACGAAGTAGATGGTCTTTTTTAATGACAGATAAAGCTTTTTAAATCTTGTGTGTATTTTTCTAAGTGTTAAATTAACATGACTTAAAATGTCTAGTTTCTTTACTTTTTGATTAATGGTTGGCCTGTGTCTTAAGGTCTATTACGTTATCCATTTCATTTTGTGTTTTCTCTACTGTGTACGTACCGTGGTGATAAATTGTCCCTTGTATCTTGGACAGTATTTTTGTCTGCAAATAGCAACTACTTTTCTTGTCTTGCCAGCACTTTCAGCATGATTCATGTCACTGGCTCCTATTTTTCTACTGTTTTTGCATCTATGAATAACAGGGTGTGCTGCAACAGGATATGTCGAGTGCCAGCTCTTGCAATTTTTGCTTTGAAGCTTTTGGAGGTTAGAGATTAAGCATATGACCCATAGTTTATGCCATTTGAAGATGATCTTTGAAAGTGACAGCCTTGTACATTTTTTAAAGTCCCTGTTATTAGTTCTGCTTCTGCATACTACCCCATAGCAGTATTATGAAAGGAGACGGTAGAGATATGTCCAATTTTCTAACTAGAAAAATATCAGATAATATGTGCATAGTCCTGGGATGGAAAAAAAGGCTCTGCACTTACTAATCTAAACAATAGTTCAGATAGTGCTGTGGTATTAGCAGCCCCAAAACTAACTAACTCCCTTCATTTTAAAGGCTTGTAATAGTTGTCCTGAAACTGTTAAAAACCTTGAAAATGGGAGCTAGTTAGCATGAAGGCTGCTAATGCCAGAGCACTGGAGATGCTGTGTGCTTAATAGGTAGTATTTATAGTTCATTTACACTAGTACCAAATCCATAGACATAAACATTTGAAAACTTGTTGCATATATGTTTATAGTATGTACCCAGTCCAGTGTCAATATGCATCCTACATCCTATACATAAAGCCTTACTTCAAGCACTTGCCGTTCTTCCAACTAGATTGTTCAGGTGCTGCATCAAGGTTAAGCTATGTATTGAGAGAGAACTTAATAGATTGTTTGTGATGTTGCTATGGGGATATGAGAAGTTGAGAAATTAACTGATGTGTTTAAAAAAAAAACTTAAGTGTAAAATGTTATGAAATTAAATTCCTTTTTGCTTGTAAAACATACACCGACCGGCAAGTGCTACTTTTCAGCTGACAAGATAAGAAAAATCTTCTTTTTCACCCCTCTAGTCACCAACAAAAGCTGTGTATAATGCTAGACACTGGAACCAGCCAGAGTCGGAGGCTCTACCAGCACCACCAGTATTGAAAACTCCAAGCATACCAGTAAGTAAGCTATTTTTTCTTTCAGCTTTCGTAATTCACCCTGGTTGTTTGCCCATAATTTTAAACTCCTGAGCAGGTTGGTGCTCATTTTTATGAAACATTCACAAATACAACAGCAATTCAGAATGAAGTCTAGCTGAATGTTAGAACCTACAGAAATTTCGTCAGTGAAAACTCTTCAGTAAATTCTAAAGGAAAAGCCCACAAGAGTTGGAAGAATTTAGTTCACTATTTCTCCTTTTACTAATATTGTAAATTTACCTCTGCAAACTTTTAAAACTAGCATATTATGGAACAATTTTAAAAAAGCAATACATTTTCCACTCTGGGAATAAAATAAAAATAGAAGTATTAAAAAAATTAAAAAATTAAAAAAAAATAAGTACTAAAATAAAAAGTATTCTGCCACAGTCTGTACAGTGAGGATTATCTAGCAATTTCCATTAAGCGAAATGGCTTGCCAGACATGGCAGTTTTCAGTGACCTGGTCAGCAGTTAATAAAAACAGAAACCAGTGGTTTGGGCTTATGCGCAACTGAAAGTGCTCACTAATTAAGTTAACAGAATTTTATGTAAATTATTTGCAACCTTGTAGCTTCCATTACCTTAGGTATTTTATTTTTATCCTTTTTTCTACTGTTCTACTCTTGAGGCCAGCAAATTTCGGTTTTAGACCTGTCTTAGTTATTCCCAGATCCCTGTTTCAGAATGGCCCCCATCAAATGTTAACTACATTTATAAGAATTTATGATGATTTACTTCCATCACTGTTGGGCAGCAAAGAAGTTTTCCAAACTATCACTTTAAAAACACGCAACACAGTTGGATTCAAATATGTACGAAATCTGTTTTGCTTGGTGTAATGTTTTTAAAGCACCATGATAGTACTGATAGCCCATTATAACACAACAAAATCAGCCTCCAAATCGGCTACTTAAATAGCAGTAATACAAAAAATAGTTCTGTTGTTTGTGGCTGCCTTTATACATGCAAAATCTTAGAGGCCTTCATATTTTGCTCATTCTTAAGTCTAGTTTTTCCAGAGTAGACAGTTATTTAAAAAAAAAAAAAAAAAGCAGCAGCTGAAAAAATTATTTCAGCTCCTAACTTTCATACTTGGGGTTCTGGACATCAGATTATCACTTCAAGAATATGGTGGAAGTGTAGTTATTAAAATTTATTGTAAACAGAAAATAAACAATTTTTCCCTGCATGGAGTTTTGAGTCCTGAATCATTTGATAAGAAAATGTGTTCTCAAATGTGTTCTCAACAGCAAAGTTCATAGCTTTATTTTACAGTTTATAAAGGTAATTGTGGGATTCACACTTGGCCCAAAAGTTGAGACATGATTCCTAGACCAAACAAATCTGCCTCCTTAACTTTTGTAATTGCAAGAAAGGCCAGTATAGAAATGTTCTTTATAGGGTGGTGATGAGAAGTGTTTGCCCCAAGATCTGTATTCCAGGTGTTCTGACTCACTAGCTAGAGAGCATTTCTCTAAACTTGACATGGATATGCTCTGAAGGGAAACCTACTAATATCAAAACAGAATCAGTTTTTCAAGCTTAGTTAGAAATTCTTAATTTAAACTTCTAAATGACAAGCATCAAATCTTCCAGTATGTTATCACACGGAAAGGTTATAGTTTACCTTATGCCACTAGGGTCTGAATGTTAACTGATATCAACAAGTTACGATGATATGGATAGAAAGTAAAAAATTACAGTTGCTGTACATGTGCGGGGAGGCTGGTCCGACGCACTGTAATTACAAAGCATCAGAGCAGGCTCAACTTTAATCGAGTCTCCTGGAGCATGCTATAATTAGTATGCTCCAGCAGCCTCTGTCTCATGCATCAGCAACCCTGTGCTTCAAAATGGTGGTGGTGAGGCTTTAACTAAAGCTCATTGAACGAGCTTTAGTTCAAAATGCCGGCAGAGGTGTTTTTAAGTGTAGGGACACTGATGCATGAGATGCTGTGGGCGCTTTAATTGGAGCAGATAGCTGCTCTCATTAAAGTGCCCCCATCCCCGGAACATGTTAAAAACCCCTTAGCTGTGCAGTTGAGAGGCTTTAGTGGTTGTTCTAATGCTGTATGTACTAACATACAGCAACAGAAACCATCCTTTGATACTTGTGGCGTTCATGCACATTCACGCCCTGTGTTTAGTATGATGAAAAATACTGGGCTTGGAAGAGTTTGGTTTAATAGAAGTTTTAGAGTGTAAATTCATGGTATTGCTTTAAAATTGAGGTCATGGATGAGTAGATGAACATTGTATTTGCATTTAATGCAAGACATTTGGAGTGGGTAACTGCCTGTCTCTTGCCCCGATAAGGTCTGTTTTCCATCTTGTCACTTTGTTATTGAACAGGAACAGGATCTGACAAGCAGCCTGAAAACAGGCTGATGATGCTGTTGAAAGTAGTATCTAAGACAGGAGTAGGCAAAGTGAGTTCTGTAACATCCAATTTCTGAGGCAACCAGGATGCTGAGAATCCATCAGTAGCAATGAACCCAGCACTGCGTTATCCACAGCTTCTAACTTTGCATATAGGGAGATAGCTTTGTTATAGTGAATTTTGCAAAACGTATGTGTAAAACATCAGTACAGTGAATAAACATAAAGCTAGTGTAGGAAAAATGCCATTAGTTTTGTATCCTAAGTCTGATGCAATTTCTGCAGTGCCCTATATCCCATCCCCTCTTGCAGGTACTTCATAGTGCTGGAATAAAATGCTAGATAGCTTGTTACTACAGACAAAATACATTTTCAGGTAGAAGTAGCTTCCTGTAACTGCAGGCATTACTTGAGTGCCTAGTGGTGATAACAGTAGACTTTGTATTTTCAGTTGCAGCTATGCTGGGACAAAGACCAAACTTTGTCATATGAGGGCTATCGGAAGGTCTGCTAAAAATTGGCTATAACAGCCTGCTCCAGTAAGTGGGCAAAACTGCAACAACAAAAATTGACATTCTTTTCAGGACCAAACTTTGTTATATGTACGCTGATGCTCAGTTAGTCAAAAGATACAAAAGATTCTACCTGCTCTTTTAGTTGTAAAGCCTAACCAGAGCCTGCCCCTCTAACATTTTTTTTTTTTTGTATTAGAAGACCATACAAACACTGGCACGTTACAAAATTTAACAAATAGGTGCATTCACCAGTTAATGTAGATATATCTTGTGGGTGTTGAGGTGAAGGCTAAGAACACCCAAAATGTGAGTTTGACAAATGCACACCCTGTTCTGTTTCCTTCTGTATTTTAGTATATGTTTGCATACTGAAAACATCTGCCCATTTTAGCACTTTCTTATTAATAGGTAAGGCTATCTTCAAAGGAGGCAATTCATAAAGATGATGGAGTTTTTAAGGCTCCTGCACCACCTCCCAAAGTGATAAAAACTGTGACAATACCTACTCAGCCCTATCAAGAGATAGTAACTGCATTGAAATGTAGGAAAGAAGACAAAGAAGTAAGTATTTTCAATAACTTTTTAAGATAAAGAATTAATGATTCCAAAAATTGAAGGAAAATATCAAAATGCAGTTTAGCTTTCCATATTAAAATGGATGGTTTGTCTGATACAGTCAGTGTATTGACTCTTAAATGTTCTTTTTAAAAAGAAGAAACCTGAACAAATGTTCAACTTTTTGTTAACATCTTAATTAATCCTAAGAACAACTTACCCAGTTAAAAATGTCCTTGTCTTTTCCAGTTATACACTGTTGTTCAGCATGTAAAGCACTTCAATGATGTAGTAGAATTTGGCGAAAATCAAGAGTTCACAGATGATATTGAATATTTGCTAAGTGGACTGAAAAGCAATCAGCCCCTAAACACACGTTGCCTTAGGTAAGATGCTTGACATAAAACAGTTTGTTTTACACCCTTTTATTTATCCAGGATAGTATGTGTTAAATAAACATACAAGTGCTTAACTAAAAGCTATGTTGTTTGATTGAAAAAGTCTGAAACCATTGAAGACAAGACTATCTACAATATGTTATAGATGCAGGTAGCTGCTGTGAAAGATGGTATAGGATTTTACATCCTGAAATTATGTCCCAAAATTTCCTATTAGACTTCTTTCATCATAGCATCCTTCCTGAGTTTCAGTATGACTGAAGAGAGAGAGTATCCCAGACAGTTGCAGTTTGTGATGATAACGTTAATATATTTGTACTGAGGTGTCATTCACTGTGACACCAATTGTGCTTCATCTTAAGAAACATGATTAGCACTGACCAATGCAACTTACGTAGTGTTGGTATTAACTAGCGAGTCTTATTAGGGTTCTAGAAATTGTAAGACATTACTTCAGTTAATGTTTCACTAAATTTTGCTAGATTTGCAAATGCAAGTATTCTTTAGACCAGCGGTTGTCAACCGGGGGTACACATACCTCTGGGGTACTTGGGAAGGCCCTAGGGGGTATACATGGGCAAGCAGGAACAGAGCACTGCCACCCACCACCCTGCATTGCCACCTCTTAGGAGCAGGGCTGGGAGGGAGGAGGGCAGCGATGCCCCTCTGTGGGTTGCATAGGCGCCTGCCAGCCAGACACGGGGAAAGGGGAGGGAAGTTTGCATGTAGCGGCCACTGCCGCCACCCACCACCTGCTTTGCTGCTGCTCCACCTCCGGCCATGTGCCACCCCACCTCCCTCCACATGCTCCACGTCCAGCCACCGGGGTTACACTTACTGAAAAAAAGTTGTAACCCCCTGCTTTAGACAACAAAAAATTAAATTAATTCTTGCCTCTCAAAGATTTAAAGACTTATTTTTTAAAATACTAATAACTAATTGTTTATTTCTTTTGTGGACCCTTAGAATTAGCCAGGGAGTGGTTCTGCAGCCATAAAAATCCCTTTTCTTTTCCATACTTGTAAAAACTGTAAATACTATAGTTAGAAAAACTTGAATTGCCAGATAATTAGCAAGTTGGGAGATTTTATTTGGCATCTTGATATGGATCTAAACAGCTATAAAATTTTAAAAGGCAAATTTTAAAACAGCAATTGCTTCTCTTCCCGAGACCTCGAGAAATCACAGTACTGGTTGTTCTAACAATGCAAGATGACATATTTCTGCAAGTTAATTTATGTACATGAATATATAAATCAATATAATAACACTTGGTTATTCACATTAAATACAGTGATTTTTTTCTTGGCAAACTCTTAAAATTCTTTTATTTGGTTTTTTTATTGCTTTGATTTTATTTGAGAAGCTGAATCCAATTTATACTCAGAATAAAATCAGTTTGTTTGGTGACATAACTCTAATTTTAAAATGTAAGATGGGAAAGCAGACTCCTTAAAGCAGAGCTGAGTATAGTAGTAAACATTACAGATTTTAAAGATATATGCCAGAAGCGGCTGAACTTTAAATAATCAGAACTATGAAGAGCAGTACTTGGTTGCTTGCTTTAAAGTTAAGCTGAAACAGTCATGACCACTCTATGGATTAAATGTTGATAGTTACAGTGGGAACCTGAAGTAAGAGTGGAAACTAGATTGCCAATGTAGTTTCTCCTCTAGTTTAAAAGTTTTGCCATAGTGTTACAGACTTCCCAGATGCTCCTCTTGCCTCTGTTCAGCCACATGCAACTTCAGGCTCATTTTTGTAAGTTGCTCATTGGTCAGGCTTCCTGTCCATCAGTCGGTCATACGAGACATGACTTGGACTGCATATATGAGTTGTATTTAGATCAGTCTTAAATACGTTTTATTCAGCGCACATTCCTTAAGTATAGCTGCTTTCAAACACACTAACGACATTGTTTGTTTTTCTAGTGTAATCAGCCTGGCGACAAAGTGCGCCATGCCCAGTTTCCGCATGCATTTGAGAGCACATGGCATGGTCGCCATGGTCTTCAAAACACTGGATGACTCCCAACATCATCAGGTATTCAGATTTCATGTGTCTGCAGTATTGGTTAGTTCAAAGTTCTATTTGGACTAATGTACATAAATAGAGATCATATAATTATAGAAGTATGTTCTAGTTTTTTTTACTGTTTAGTACGCTGGTATAGCATTTTCTTGAAATAAGTTCATCTTCATAGAAACGTGACACAGGAAAATTTGAGAATTAATCGAGGCTAGCAAAAGAAATAAGAAGCAATAATTATTGTGAAATAAGTTATGTACCCATTTAAGATAGAAGAAGAAGAAGAAGAAGAAGATATTGATAATAATACCCTTGCTTGAATTTAGGTAAGCTTTTTGAGAAAAGGAAAAAATCATATACACACTTGCTTGTAAATATTATTAGTGAAGTAGTTTTAAGAGGGTAGAAAAGACTTTGCCACAAATGGCAATGTGAATAGAATAAAATTTATACTGTTACTTTCACTACAGTAGCTTTCAATAGTGAGCTAAGATAACAGATCTTATTTTCGTACCTTATGAAACAGTAATTGTAATGAATAAATTTTCTTTTAACTAGCAGACGCGGTCAAATTACTTGTTTTCAATTAATTCTGCCCAAATACCAGTTTTCATATTTGAAAAATGCTCGTTCCATTTCATTTTCTCGAATATGTATACTTAATGCAACTTAATATTTTTTGATTAACTGTCTCTTTAAGCTATGCTGCAAATGCTTTAGCATATTAGATTATTAATTTTTAAAACCAAAGCTATTGTTTTCATTAAAACTGTCAGTAGTTAACCACAAAAATGTGTTTTTGTAATGTCTTCTGTGTGTGGATAATTTTTAAATAAATTAAAATGCAGTGCTGAACCTTAGAAAATAACCATCTGTTCCCACAAGTTGGAATATAAATAGAACTAGCAAGAGGGGACAGATCTTCTGAGTGGGAGTAACTTGCCTATAACAAGACCTGAAGACTTTTGTCCTGAATCCTCTTACGGAGGTGTCAAACTCAGTATGGCAATCAAATCTCTAAGATGCTCATCTTTTTTATTTTTATCTTCCTCCTCTCCCCAGTAGAGGCAACCCTCGCTGTTTGTGGGAGATACATTCTTGTATCCTCCACAGATGGCAAAATCCACAAATAAGGCACTGTGTTCATGAACGCAGTGCCCCCAGCAGCTGGGGGGGGTGGGGCACAGCTCTGTCGGCGGGAGCTGGGTGGCAGCAAGTGCAGAGCTTCCGAGGAGCTCCTGAAAGTGCATAAAGTGTATTTAAAATGCAGGTTTGGCATTTGCAAATATTTGAAACTGTGAATGCCAAACCCGTGAATAACGAGTTTTTCCTGTCTTTGTCTTAAAGTCTGTATAGTGTAATAAAAAGAAAAAAAGTCAGTTTTACAATCCTATAAACAGTCTAAATGTCTAATGTGTATATATTATCTATAACTTTTTTGGCATGGAGGTTAAATGGTAAAAATAGTTTGGTGACTCTGATGCACCTTCTTTGGAATGAAGTCATGTTCAAAACTCCTAAACGAAAACCTGTAGTTTTGTGTGCATACTTGGGAATAAAATAATTTTGTAGTAGTATGGTAAACTTTTAAAATAAGCCTTCATTATGGATCAAATCTGTATTAAGCTAAAATTAAAGATTTATACAAGAGTTGAACAGGCTCCTTAAAAGAGCCACAGAAAGAAACAAGCTATAATCTGCAAGTATAAAATAGCTATCCTTTGATAACTGAAGCTGGGTCCATTTTAAGTGATCCTGCTATATCTTAAGGTCTTGGAGATTCCTGTTATTTCTCTGCCTGTATTTCACCTGCATTGCTTTCTGTATGATCTCCCTGATTAGCCTACTACACACAAGTGTTCTTGGACTCTCCTAAAACAGAGTGTATTGTGGGTATGTGGTCACAGAAACTTCCAGCTCTATACGCTTGGATGCAATGGTGCATCTCCCCTGAATGATTAGCTTGTGTCTGTTTAAAAATTGTTCTTGTTTCAGTATATGTGGTTTGCCTAGCACAAGTGTTTACTAACGTTTTCATTTTTGTTTTTTCCAGAATTTATCTCTTTGTACAGCAGCTCTAATGTACATTCTGAGCAGAGATCGTTTGAATATGGATTTAGATCGAGCTAGTTTAGATCTGATGATTCGACTTTTAGAGTTAGAGCAAGATGCTTCTTCTGCCAAGCTGCTGAATGAAAAAGATATGAACAAAATTAAGGAAAAAATTCGGAGGCTTTGTGAAACTGTTCACAACAAACATCTTGACTTGGAAAACATCACAGTAAGTATTGTGATGTTGTTGTTGTTGTTTGAACTGTCCTTTAAAACTAATCTAAACTAGAATGTTTAGTAATATCTAGTAGCTTCAACTGTCTTTCAGTTCTTGGTGTAACAAAGTGCATGCCTGGTATCCCTTGGATTGATCTGTTGGGAACCAAAAGTAGTGAGAAATTTTCTGTATTTTTTGTAAAAATCTTGCCTGTACTGCAGATCTCTTACTTTTCTAATTTCTAAATTCTTTTGGACAAGAAAGAGATTCTTGCAAACTGTATCTGTACTCCATGATATGTAATTTATTATTTAGTGGTCTTAGTGTAGCTAGTAATCGAATAGTAATTAAACAAAAGAAATAACATCTATGTTTAGTTTTGCTGTCAAAATTTGGTTTAATTGCTGGGTTATTTCTGTGCCCCTTGAACTGTGGTTTAAGATAAATGTGCTAAATCTACAGCCATTTTTTGTATAATGCGTGATGTGATAAGGAGGGATCCTGGTTTTATGTTTAAAAATCCCAAATTCTTTGATAAAAATCCCAAATTCTCTGATTTAAAAAAAAAAATAATAATAATTCCACATTTTTCCACAATTAAAATGAAATGCCACTATATATACAGCTATCAGTTCAACATAGTATTTTATTGATAAATTTACAATTTTAAAGTAGTTTGGAAGCCTACATGTGGTTTAGTCATTATAATAAAATGAATTCTAAATACCCGTATATTTAGGCATTGTATTTGGGGGTGGGGTTTCAAGGAAAATCAGAGCTCCCCCTGCCCTCTTCACTCACAAAAACCGGGATGTGGGTCCAGCTATGGCTGTTCCCCCTCACTTCTTTGTGGTGCTGAGCAGCACTGATATGCTGGTGCCCTGCCCATGCCCATGCTGTTGCTTCTTACTCCCAAATTTCAGCCCCCCATTCCCCAGCTGTGCCTCTCGCTCCTGACCCACAGTCCCCTGTCCATGCTGGTGCCCCTCGCTCCTGACCCACAGCCCTCCATTTCTCCCCCAGTCATGCTGGTGCCCCTCACTTCTGACACGCAGCCCCCTGCTCCCCCCCCCCCCCCCCCAGCCCTACCAAATGGGGCCTCCAGCTGCCCCTGTACTTCCTGGCCCAGTGTGGACTTCCAGGATGCACCCAATGATCCCCGTCCCTACCCCCAGGCAGCGTCTCCCAGCCACTACACCCCTGAGAGGATGGGCATCAGCCCTGGCACTGCTAGCCTAGCCATGTAGCTCCCTGCCACCCCTGAAGGACCCTGCTGGCAACAATGTGGAGCTGGGCTTGCCAGCAGCCCTTAGCGCTGCCTCAGACCCTCTTGCCCTACTGCAGTCTCTGTGCCCAGACATCTGCCTCCAGTGTTGGCAGGCACCCCCCCCTTTACCCCTTCCATGCTCCCCTGCCAGAGCCATGCCCCTCACTCCTGAGCCACACACGTACGTGCGTGCGTGCATGCATGCAGTCACACGTGTATGCCTCTCTCAGCTTCCCAGATGGTCCCCAGGCCCTGGCCCTCCAACCAGTCCCCCCCGCCCGCCAATAGACTTTCCTGTATCCAGCTGCTGGGGCTGCTCCTACCACCCTGCCTGGCTGCATGCTGGCCACAGGTGTGTGCACATGTACGCACACGGTACCCTCTGCCTCCAGTCGTCATCCCCCTGCTTCCCCCAGCCCCAAGCAGCTCCTTTGTGTGCACATTTTTCCCTTTTAAAGGGGAAAGTGTGTGATCCCTAGTGATGAGGCCCTGGTTTCTAACTATAGCTCTCATATAATGGCAAAATAATGCATGTAATTTAATATGAAAATGGTATTCAGAGTTAAAGCTGAAATTTGTAAGCTGCCTCAGGTGTGTTGCAACATCAACAAGTTTAAAAGGTAATGAGATAGGAAGACACAGATGTCAACTGTTTTCCTGTGTTTTTATTTGTTATACAGATGGTAGGAAGCCCAAACAAATATTAAGAAAGGGCTTGGAGAGAACCTTTTTGGTATTTCCATCATGTCCAAATACCTGCTTTCTCAGTGGCTAGATGATTTAACTGGCTGTTTATTCTTAGTACATGTTTCAGTACTCTAAAATGAAGAATGTGTGCTGTTTTAATTTCAGATGCAAATTATACAAATGAATTATATACCTGTTTGGTCAAAAATACTCGGTATGCTGCAGTGGTAATAAATTGTGTATATTGTGTATATTTGTAGTTTTTAATCCTTGCAGGTTAGTCTAAACTGCAGAGATTAAAGTGAGAAACAACTGGACAGACATTCACTTTTGATTCAGAAAATGCCTGCAGTGGCTCAAGCCAGAAGCCAGGGGATGCTAGAGCATGGCTCTTTGGCATGTAGCCAGCATGGACAGTTTATTCGCTTTGTCTTCCTGCTGCCCCCAGGGTCTCTGGGATTTACAGTGCAAAATCAAAGCAGCAGGACTCTGCAGAGTCGCTCATCATTTCTGCTTCCAGGTGCCTCTGGGATATGTAGTTTACAATCACAGCCAGCAGTAAGGTTTTGGTTTTTTTTAGCAGGGCAGGGCAGCTCTGTACTTGGGGGAAGGGAAGTTTAGCCCCCCCCCCAGGTCCCAGACTCCACTGGGGTTTGCCTGGGGAGGGTGAAGTCCTTGCCACCTCCCACCCCCACGCCTTCTCTGCTGGAGCAAACAGCACAGCCCAGGACTGCAAAGCATGCAGGGGGGCTGTGCTTTAACTTGAACCAGGAAGGGGTCTGGGACAGAAATTTCATAAACTGGTTTGCCCCAGCTCAGTTAAGTCTGACACTACATTCAACCAGGTTTATCTCAAACCAGTTTCAGCCATTTTGGAAACTGGTTTATATGCACTGAATGTCTGTTCTGTTACAGATTTAAACCAGTTTCTGAGCACTTAAACCAGTTTGTCTAACTTCTGTCCATAGCCTAGGCTCCTGGATGCAAAGCAGTAGTGTTTTTTTGCATCTGGAATGAGCAATGCCACCAGTGGCAGTACGGTATACTAGCATCTTGAAAGGTGATAGTATTTTTGATTTATGAGTTTCAAGATTCAGAGTACAGTGTAGCACCATTTTGGTGAATATACCTGGATGCCTGCTCTCAGTTAACAGACATGCCATTATCTTGTCTCTTATACCTCATGACTGAGGCCTGGTTTAAATCGTGATTTTGCATTTTTTTAAGTGATTAAATGATTTTCATTAAAAAAAACAAAACTGATTTGCAACGAAATGCCGCAATATGGCTGCTTGCTGGGGAATTCACCAGCAAACCAGCCATGTCATGGCATTTTGTTACAAGATGGCTGCTGCAGGCTGGGAAAAGCATCCTCCAGCCAGCAGCAAAAGCCTAGCAGCCTAGGAGAGGGGGAATGGGTCACAAAAGGGACAGGGCAGGAGAGAGCTTGGTTAGGGGAGGGATTGTTTGTTCCTTTGTGTGGGGAAAACTGGCACCTGGGAGTTGCCTTGGCAGATGCTACTAGCACCAAGTAGAGGAGGGGCTGTTTTCTTCTTCAGCCCCATCAGGTTGGAAAACTGGGTTGCCGGGGGTTCGGGGCAAGGGAGAGAACGCATGCATGGAGGAGCAAACAGCCTCTCCACTACCTGGTGCCAGGGCCATTTGCCAAGGCAGCCCTCAGGTGCCCCCAACCCCCCCGTTTTCCTGCCCAGAGGAGCAAATAGCCTTCCCCTATCCATCCTCAAGCTCTCTCCTCCTCCTGTCCCTTTTGTAACGCCTTCTCCCCTCCCCTGGGTTGCTAGGCTTTTCCTGCTGGCTGGGAATGGTTTCCCCAGCCCACAAAAGCTATCAGTAAATGGGAGTAATCGGTGGGGGAGGGGGCGTGGGAGGGTGCCACAATCTGGGCACGAAAATAGTGGCCCTGTCACAATCAGGCCATGTTATTAGAAGCTGGGTCTGCAATTTTAAACCAGGCCCTACTCAGGCTGAAAAAAATAGACACAGAGAGATAACCTTTGGCCATTTTGGCAGCAAATGTTGGGGACACCAAAAACCCAGCAGACTGAAAACTGAAACTGATTTGCTTCACCACCTGTCTCCCTCCCCTACAGGGAGTAAATCATTATATTTACCATACTAGTTCTACTACTTTAATAAGTTTCCGCAGTTTAACTTTCATTTACTATGCGTCAACAGCTCCCTGCTCCTTTTTAACTCTCCATAGTGTGTTCATTTGTCTGTACCTTCACTCTTCATGTTCCATTTCCATTTATTTGGCATTGGACTGTTAATTCCACCTGAGGGTTTTAGCCCTTTATCAGTCATACACTGCCTGCCATCTAGCATACCACTCTTCTACTAATATCTGTATAGCCTTCAGCTAGCACACCATCACAGGAGTGAATCTGCAGGGGTTCAAAGAAAAGAGGCTCTCAACTTAGTGGTGAAAAGTTAACAGTGCAGGTTTTGAACATTGGAACATCCCTGAAAAAGTAAGCAGTTGGCTGGCTTTTATTCATCCACATGAATACAGTACTCCTGCACCATCATACAAGATTTTACCCCAGTATAGTGCATATAATACACAGATATTAGGAGTGCTTTTAACTTTTGTTTCACAGTATGAAGGTATTTGGGAAGTCACCGGGATCTTATGTAATCCTAGGGAACAGCCTGAGGAGAATATAACTCCATTCTGCATCTTCCAAAGTGCTTTGCATTATGCATTGACTATGCAGTGCCTCGTTTCAGATAGCTGTACTATAATATCTTAATATTCTACTAGGACCTCTCCTACAAGCTAGTTTATGCCCAAAAGCTTGCAAAGAACAGTTTTTCCAACGGTTTAGTTGGTTTAATAAAAGGTATTGCATTTACCCAAAGGACTATGCCTGCCTTGGGCTTGTCTTGGTATTCCTTATACTAAGTGCAGAGTGTATGTAAGTTTTTTTTTTCCCCTCTTTGTATAACTGGTGCCTCACTTAAGGTAATTTGAAAACAAAAACAAACCACACTTTAACATAGTTAGTCTGTACTCTTTTGGAGTAGAGTTAGTTTTCAGCACATGGCAAAAACTAACATATCTGGAAGACTGGGCTTTTCTGTGGCTTTTGTTATTTTCTGGTGCCTGGCTGGTTTGGCCGTTTTCTTCTTCAGCTTGTCTCTTCTGATAACAGGCAGTGCAAATGAAAGGAGTCTGACTCTCTTCTGAAGCACTTCTAAAATGAAGAAAAAGGAGTAAATAATTTGTTTTTTCTATTCCCTTAGTATGAAGTCAGGTTTTTTGTTTTTGTTTTTTACAGTTAAGCAAATTTCTCTATCTCCTCTTGCTCCCCCTTGTGGCTGTTACGTAAAGATTTTTTGTGCGAAGATGTACCAGCTGTTTATCTCAGTAAAAGATCACTTAACTAATTCTAGCTTTTGGTTCTTTCAGACTGGGCATTTGGCTATGGAGACATTGCTATCTCTTACTTCAAAACGAGCAGGGGACTGGTTTAAAGAAGAGCTGCGACTTCTAGGTGGTCTTGATCATATTGTAGATAAAGGTATAGTGAATATTTTTCAAATGCACTGAAAAAATATAAATAGGATTAATGGTAGAAGAATTTCCATGATTAAATTGCTGTATTTTCTTATTTTCTAGTATAGTAAAAATGTAAACATACAACACATTTTCTTTGCTATCACAAAGTATGTAAGATTCCACATCAGTGGTTGGGAACAGTAAATGGACATATTCATAAAAAAAAAAAAAAACATGCTGGATCTTAAACCTTGAACAAATAGCACCTGTTTAATATTACTTAAGCAGCGTTAGTAGGATACTTATTGTTTATTCTGGAAATTTCTGTTCCAGAGACTGTTATGACTACACCATAAACTTTTTGGACAGCAGAGCCTTTTAATTTCACAAAGAGCAGTCATACCCCTGTGTAGAGTAGGTACTGTGTGGTTATGTGTTTATCAGGGTTTTACGTTTAACCCAGAGAAAGTGAGCTCTTCAAGAGGAAATAAGTATTTGTGCTCCTCTCAATTCCTTTTTGTTAGAGAAGGCTGGAGCTTAAAAGCTGAATAAGAGATGACCATTAAAGCAGTTAAGTAGAGCTGAGAACTTGGAAAGGTGCAAACATGCCAGTTTCCTACATCTGTCTTTGGTTCCATTTCAAAAGTTTTTGATTATACAGTATTAGGTATTTAGTTCTCTCATCTAAAATATCCTGAATATTCTGCAATTCTGTGGCTTATCTTGCAGCAGAACTTCTTCTTGGTTAATAGAATAAATAAATTTTCCTCTTTTCATGCCAAACCTACGTGAAATATTTCCCAAGTCTTAAAAGCAATATGAAGGAGTTTATAGTCACATAAGTTTTCTTTGGCAGAAGATGTTTTGTATTACTCTAGTAGCACAATCATAACATGCTTTAAAAAGATGTTACTGGGAGAAATAAAGCACTTTTGGAAATACTAGTTTGTGATCTTCTCATCCTTGTTAATGAAGTAAACTTTGTGAAATGTCATAAATGGTATAGGGGAAAATTGCTTTTTGTTGTATAGATGACTTTATCTTCCTAAAAACATTAACTTTTCAAAGTGCATGCTACTGATAGTGCAACACAACTTCTTTTTATTATCTAGTCAAAGAATGTGTGGATCACTTAAGCAGTGATGAAAATGAAGAGAAATTGGTTGCTTCATTATGGGGCGCAGAAAGATGTTTACGGGTCTTAGAAAGTGTAAGTATGAGCAAATAAACTGTCTTGGAAATAATTGTTGTCTGAGTACTAAGGGCCTTTTTATATTCTACAATTATAAATTATATTTTTATGTGATGTTTAGTTTTATGAACTTGGAATTAAATATATCTTTACAAGACATGTGACACTTTCCCATTTATTATAATTCCATAAATTGAAACATTTTAGGACATGAAATTCTGTAAATCTTAGAAAAGTAGAACTGGAAAAGATCTTTAGTCATCTAGTACAACCTCTGAGGTAGTATCAGTCCTATCCAAACCACCGCATACAAATCCGTGTCTAACCCATTACTAAAACTATGCAGTCAGCCTCATAACGCAGCTACCAGGCGTAACACCCTAACCTGTCACGGGTAGAGGAGGGAGACAACAGTGGTCAGTGTCTTGCTGCTTCAAGGCTTGTTAAAATGTATTTTGGAGTCAAGTCAAAGGCCATCCCAGCCCAACAGCCTGTTGGGCTAATGTGGTTAAGGTATGCCATTTTTTTCTGTATCCATTGGCACATGCAAGGGAGTGATGTGTCTAGTCTTGTCCAGCTGCTTTTGACTTACCAATCTAAATAACCAGGTACCCATTAATAACTGGGGTGACTGGAGGCAGCCTTTGGCATGAGTCCAGAGCAGGGCTTTACCTTGCATCTCTGGATACTTAAGTTACTAGCTAGCTAGAGTTATTACTTAAGGCAGGGGTTGACAACTTATGGCCCATGGGCCAGATCTAGCCCACAGAGCTGTTCAGTCTGGCCCATGGACATGGAGCTTTGGCAGTGGGGTGCTTGAGACTCAATTGCTTTCCCTTTGCTACCTTGGGGAAAAGAGATGGCTGGGTCTTAGTGCTGGCCCCCTCTAAAGGAACTGGGTCATTCGGGCCCTGGAAAAGATTGCTGACTTAAGGGCATTACTTTCAGTTTGATTTTTTAAGTATACATGTTGTAATTGTATGTATTTGTGGTTCTCATTCTGGCAGTTGTAATCTGTTCTATTTTGAAGTGATAATTTGCACTTTTTTTCTAAAATACAATTAGTAAACTGCTGTTTAATTAGTCAAGAGTAACACAGTCAGTGCATTTCCAGCTGAATATAGGGGGAAAAATACATCAGTTGTGTTGAAAACTGAACGGTGCTATGGAAATAGTACATATCTTCCAGTTCTTCACTGTTAGAATTCACTTGTCCTAGACATACATTGGACTTCATTTCCTCATTGTCATCATTCATATTGTTAGGGGAGTTTTTTCTACCATAAATAAGACAGAAAAATGACCTGATAGTTTAGCAGTAGTTCTTTGCTTCAGCATGATGGATTCAGGTTTAGTCTTAGTCTCTCATGCCTCATTGCAGGCCAGTGAATCATGATTAATAATGGGGTCATACTCCTGAATGAGACCAGAAAGAACAAGCACCACTAACTTTTTTTTTCTGAGCAAAAATATATATGTTAAAAAATAAAGAGAACACCATATGGAAGATGCTGTTAATACCTTTAGGATCCTTATTAAGCCAAATATTTATTTGTTTAATTAAGGAGGGGACAGAATATTGTGAGGTAAGATGAAACAACTTTGCTCAGTTCAAAAATTACAGACGATCATTAGGAACATGAATATAATGTGATTACAAATCATGACAAGTGCAAGGTCATGAAAATAAAACAGGATTCATGCTGTACATATGTAATAGATTCTGAAAATGTTGCAGCCTCGTAGAAGAAAGAGGTTTTGTTATGGACTGCTAAGTGACTCAGGTCCCCAGAACAGTAGTTTTCCTTAACTGTTATGAAGGAGGACTCTAAAGTAACACAGGAAATAATAGCATTATGTAAACATTGGCATAGTCTCACCTTAAAACACTAAAATCAGAGTCATCAAAAATGGTGGCAGAATGATTCGGGGGGGGGGGCGGGGTTTGTTCCATTATGGTAAGCAGTTTCTCTGTAATATCAAAGGAAGGCTTACCTGTGCAAACTGATCTTCAGTGTAAGATGGATTCTGTACGATCAAATCTATATTGGCATTTTTTGGGGGTCAGGTACAATTTAAACAAGTCTGAGGGTATTACTGTTAAAAAATAAATAAATAAAGAAGAATAGGTTGTAGAATGAAGTTAAAAAAAGGGACTGTTTCAGTCTCACCAGTTGTTCGTTTGATTTTTGTTTGTTTGCTGTTTGTTTGTTTTTCAATTTGGTAAAATGTGATCAGGAAATAAGTAGTGAATGAAGAAGAAATTTTTTCTTTACTTTTCCTTTTTCCCTTTCCAACAAAATGTAAATTTTTAATGGATTTATTCCCTTCCTTAGGTAACTGTACATAATCCAGAGAATCAAAGCTACTTGATCGCCTACAAAGACTCACAACTCATAGTTTCATCAGCTAAGTAAGGTCTAGTAAATATGCTGAATATAATAGGCATGTTACTGTATGTGGCATGACAGAAAAGGAAACAAGCACCATACTTGCACAATACTTTGCCTGAATTTTTTTGTAGAATTTCCCATTATGCTTTCACGTCTGGTAACAAAGCTAGTGTCAATGACATATTAGCAATTGCTTATAGAAGGAGGTAGGTCAGGGAAAAGAATGAAGAGAAAAAGAGTAATGTGGAAATAGGTAAAAGAAGACTTGTGTCCCCTTTTATTATTTTATACCAGATAGTGCAAGAGTTACTATTTCCTTTCATGAGAGCGGAAATTTCCTTTGGCACCAAGAGAAACTTGACGCAGGCGTTGACCTGGTTAGAAACATAGCTATGCTGCCATGAATTTGACATGTTAGAGCAGCTTGATAGCTGTTTTAACTTGAGCTGGCTGTAATCCTCTACTGTCTAACAATTACATAATTTTGCACTATATCAGGCAGTCAGGTTTACTCAACTATCCTCAATTGGTTAAGAATCTGGAGAAATTCTTCAATGATCAGTTGGTGCTAGGTTGCATCTCTCTTGCACCACTTCAGCAGTGCAAAAGGGATAAAAATAGACTGAAAATTTTGCCATAAAAAGCCAGTTGAAGCTTGATCTGGAAATGGTATCTCAAGCATTGTAGGTAAATTAGATAGCTTAAGTACTCTAAAAAGCAGCCTTGTGTTATGTTTAGATGTTTGTGTATCTGTGACATCGGTCCTGGTTCTCCAGGTTTGTCTGCGTAACCCAGAAATCATTGGAGTTATGCTGATAAACAGTGTAGAATCAAGTATTTTGGGATCATGATGAAGAGCATGGTATCCTGCTGAAAATTAGCGTTCATTTGATTTTTGCAAAATACAGGTGTACCTCACAGATAAACACCAAATCAATTATAGAATATTCCGAAGGTATTGATCACATTTTGGGTAGGCTTTACATGTGCACAGCTCTCATCATAGAGGGATAATATAAGGGTATAACTTCCTGACATTATGTATTACTGGGTGACCTGGGTTTGATTGCATTTTCTGTGTTCAGAGCATTGCAGCATTGTGAGGAATTGATCCAGCGATATAACCGTGCTGAAGATAGTATCTGTTTACCAGACAGTAAGCCTCTGCCTCACCTGAATGTAACTAACCATGTGGGTAAAGCAGTGGAAGATTGTATGAGAGCCATCATTGGTGTTTTGCTGAACTTAACAAATGATAATGGTAAGAGGTCTTTTCCTGTTCTGTGCTCACATGTCAAACAATAGGCTATATTTAGCCTGTTTCCTGTCATTTAAATTTGTCCCCCTAAATTGCATAGTAATGCAGTCATATGATAGATGTTAGAATATCAATAACCAGTAAGTATTTTCTAGAATAGTATGGAGAATAGGAAACATAAAGTCTTAGGCCCCCTCTACATGTGCAGGTAAAGGCGCAATGGGATCTAATAAGCAATCCACACAGTCAGGCATGATTTTGAGATTGCTCATTAGATCCCATCATGTTTTATTGCCAGTGCAGAGGGCGCCTGATCCTGGGCTCCTACGCCAGCAAGAAGCAAGCTCCTGCAGCTCATTTGAGGGGATCCCAGCTGCAGGGGTGGCCTGCACATCCCAGTTGCAGTCTCCCAGGCTTGGTGTGAAACCACTGGCCTTGGGGGATCACAGCAGCTGCAATTCCCCAGGTCTGGCAGTTTTATGCACCCCTGAGCCCTACAGATCATGGCAACTAATACCAGCTGGGATAGCTAATACCAGCTAATACCATGGCTGGGAGCTTTGTCAGTTGATGGGGCTCCTAGCCACAGGGGAAGACCCTACTACACATGAAAATTAAAGCTCAGTGGCAACCAAATATAAAATTAGCACACATTTTCAAGGTCCAGTTTGCACATGTAGGTGGTCTTAAGGCAATTGTGCAATAGCCAGTTACTTGTGTAATACCTGTAAGTTGTAGAGGGGGCCTTAGAGAGGGAGCTTGCACAAAAACTCTTCTTGGGTTTTTAAAAACAGATTCAGTGTTTTGGTAATTATTGCTTAGTATTTTTTTAGAAAAGTATATTTATATAAAAACTTGAGCAACTTAACCTTTTTTGTTTACAGAGTGGGGTAGCACAAAAACAGGTGAACAAGATGGTCTGATAGGCACAGCTATGAATTGTGTGCTTCAGGTTCCAAAGTTCCTACCTCAAGAACAGAGATTTGATATCCGGGTGCTGGTAAGATCACATTTCTTTGACAAAAAGTAAAAGAGGCTTCTGTTGAATTAATATAAAGGCTACTTCCTTTTCCTTTATAAAGTTTTTTTATTTGGCCTTTCCTGTGTTTTTTGTTCTTATAGAGAGGTAGTTAGCAGTGTTAGTCTCAAGTCTGGCAAAAGGCAGGGTAGAGTGGCCCTGTAGAGATTAACTCATTCAGAAAGGCGTATGTTTCCATATGCAACAACCTTCTTTCAGATACTGTGGATCTGATGAAGTAGGCAGTTACAAAAGTTGATGCCTTTCTGGATGAGTTTGTCGCTAAGAGTTCACCCTCCCCTATCTTTTATGTCATGGGTGAATCTACATAATCAAAGTGAGAGAAGATGGTGATACATAAACCAAAAGTTTGAAATTGCAAGCCAGAAATTCAGTTCTTAAACAGTATCAGTAAGATTATGGATGTCCAAAATGTCTGAGAGCTTTGTGGCCATAACTTGAAAACATGGTAACATGTGTCTGTGGATTTAGAAGCCTCACATTCAGCTTGTTTCCAAATTCTGGCCAGATACTGTATATTGAACTGTTTAACAAGGAAAAGGTATGTAATTTAGTGAGCACTGAAAAGTTGAAGTACAATATTTGTACATGTCCATCTGATAACTATTTTCATTAAGAAGTCTGTTTGTTTGTGTAATATACCTTGATTTTTTTTTTTTGGTTCTTTCAGGGTTTGGGTCTGCTGATCAATCTGGTAGAATATAGTGCTCGCAACAGACACTGCCTTGTCAGTATGGAAACATCATGTTCTTTTGATTCGTTCTGTTTGGGGGAAGGAGATGATAGCCTAAAGATAACCAGGCAGATTGATGCTGTTCAGGCTTTAGTACAGGTAAATAGAAATTTGAGACAAAATACTTCTGTAATATCTAAAGCAGTTGACTATGGATCTTGTAAAGTGTGACTTGTTTATTTAGATACTATTGTTTTCTCAAGGGGGGTTTCTGTAATACTAAAAATGCTGAGCAGGACAGTGTTTTGCCCAGCTTTCACTTAGTTACCCAATTGCACAACTTTTATTTCTTTAGTGCCCTCCTGCACGGGAACAATTTTCCTTGTAAAGGACAGTAGAACCATTATGGGTGATGTCCAAAGTCTGCTTTCATCCCCAGTAAGGCTTGTTTGTTTGCTTCCAGTTTATTTCTGGTTTTCCTTAAGCCAGTTGTAATTCGTGAAAAATATCAGAAACTGCATTTGGTTTTTTTGAGCTTATTTCCATAAACTGTTTAGAATATTCTAAAACCGTTACAAAGTATAAATTGTGTGTCAGCATGAAAATGACTGTTAAATACTGTATTGACTAAATAAAATCCATGAAGAATTACTTCATTGTGAACAAGTCTCACTTTTTGATTTGGGTTTATAGTAACCGATCTGTAGCTAAAACAGATGTATGGATTTAAATGGAAAACTTTTCCTTTTATCAAACAATTCTGTTTGTAGCTGCTTGTACATTGATTTGAGTGATTTATATCACTTGAATTGGCTTTTTTTAATCTGAAATAGCTATCAGTCACGGTTAAAAGAAACACTACTCACAGAATAGTGCTATAACTTGTATTTTTGTTTATAAGATCTGTCAAAACTTTAATGTGGTCTAGAAGTTAATTTCAGAATTGGACTGTGAGCAATCAACTTGTCAATCATGCAGTATTACCATAAAGAATGTTTTGATTGCCGTGTTCATTCAGTTCCGTATGGCGAGGGGGAACAAAAATGGCAGGAAAAGAAATTCTTAAGAGGAATTGAATGGGAGCAAAGGGTAGAGGTACAATAAAAAGACCAAATGTGGGTTGGGAGGAAGAGGCAAAAGGCAATCTGTGACTAACACATTCCTTTTCTTGAGTAGTGTAAGTACAAAATAGGTTTGAGATGCTACATGCCTAAAAAGCATTTTGTGAAAAAGAAGCCAGTGTTAGTTTTTGTTACCATTTTCTTTTTCTTTTTCTCTCTAACCATTTTGAAGGGGTAACTTGGCCTAGCTTTGCTCTCCACTGTGCTGTATACCCCTGTGAATATGTATTTATTTTTAAGAGAAGGGTGATATCACACCCTGAAAAACAAACCTGTTGTTTTTTAAATGTTAATTTAGCATGTTTAAAGCTTTGCTTATATAGCTAAAATACCTTTTGAAATTTTCCAATTAGCTATTTCTTGAGCGTGAGCGAGCAGCACAGCTGGCTGAGAGCCAGACAGATGAGTTGATTAAAGAGGTTCCTGCTGCTCAGCATGATAAGAGTGGAGAATGGCAAGAGACAAGTGGAGAGATACAGTGGGTCTCAACAGAAAAGGCAGATAATGAAGAGAAAAATAAGAAGGAGGAGGATGATGAGGAACTTGATCTTAATAAAGGTATGCTGGTTTATTTAGGTGGCTTGGGGAAGGGGAAACAGTATTGTGACTGCAAAATAAATTATGTTTTAACCTCGTGGCCTGAAATTGTGGCCCGAAATTGCCTTAGCTTGGTATCCCCCCAAAAGTGATTTTTTTTTTTTTTTTTTTTTTTAAAGGAGGCCAAAAAAAATTTTTTTGGGGGGTTTGGGGGGGGAGCCTTTTTTTTTTTTTTTTAAGTGAGAGCAAAAATAATTTGTTGTGGGGTATTGGTGGAGGAAGCCTTATTTCTTTCATTTTTCTGGATCCTGACATCAGGGGTTTTTTTCCTTCCCCAAACTTTATTGGCATGCTGTTCAGGAAACATAAGTAAATGGCTAGCCCTGTGGTTAATTGTACAAATGTCCAAGCAAATATGTTGGCTTCCTATTTCTGTTTTTGACTTAATTCTGCCTTACTTTCCACTGGCTTCCTCTGTCTTTCTCACTTCATTTTGTTCTCTCTTCTGTCCTCTTCAAGCTCTATCCATCTGTTGCCTCTTGCTTAAGTCCCATGATTTTCTTTTTTACCGTCTCTGATCTCTCAAATGTCTTTTTCTTTTCTGTTCTCTTTTTCTTCCCACAGTATTCCCCTGTGGTCTTCATAATGTTTTCCTTCCCTGACTGCATTGTTTTTCTGTGTTGTAAGCTGGGCACTCAGTTTTACCCTCAGCCCATCTCCATCCACCAGATGCAGCAAAGATGGGCATGTGGGAGTATTTCAGATGATAAAAAAGTTGTCTCTAGGAACTCTTGTGTCTTTGAGGCCAGTTGGTACTGTATATTTTCAGTCTCTGGAGAACTGAGCATCTTTAGAGCCACCAGCACCTGTCACTTGGATAGCTGGTCTGTCTTGTCTTTCTGGTTCTACTGTGTATATTCTTTTGCATTCCACCTTACATGCTTCCTCTGTCCCTTTTTTTCCCCTTTATAGTTCAAATATTTTTTTAAATGTATTTTTGTAAGAGGGGTGTCAAACTTGTTTGGCCCAAAAGGCCAGATACAGACCATGGGGCTTCCTATGGACCAGTCACCTTTCTCTTTTTCCCCAGCTGCCAATCTTAGTTGCCAGGGGTAATTTAAAACCTAGATTTCAGTGGTGGGTATGTGGGGAAGAGGTGGCAAGCAGTGTTAATTGGCGTTCCGATTAACTGAAACAGCAGCTCCAAAAGCTGTGGGGATTAACACTGTCACTAAGGAGCCCACAGGCTGTATGTCTGAGAAACCTAAATTATGTTAAAATTATGTGCAGTGACATTGCATGAATGGTAAATTTTAAGGAAGAAAAACTTGCTGTGTAAAACATGCTGTGTAAGCAATTTCACTTACTTTTGCAGCTCTTCAGCATGCTGGGAAGCACATGGAAGACTGCATTGTGGCCTCATACACAGCATTGCTTCTAGGCTGTCTCTGCCAGGAGAGTCCAGTAAGGACACAAGTCAACGCCTCATTCTTAAAACAGTTGTAAAATGTTAATTGTAGTAGCACCTTGCAACCATGGAAAGTTTTTTGTTGTTGTTGCTGAGTTTAGGTTTACTACATTGGAGGAAAGGAGTTTGTTAATAAGTATAGTTCAGTACTAGACTGCATTCAGTATTCTAAATATTTTCTGAACACATATTTAGCAAAAATAAAATTTGAGGTAGGGGTGTGAGTGTGTTCTGTGGGATTAGACTTGGCCCACTGGTGAATATTTTCTGGAAAGTTAGAAGAAAATTTGGCAAAGCTGGTTACATTTGTAAACATCTTTTATTAGTTTCAATATGAGATGAATATTAGAATTTTTTACATCATAACATAATGGATTATATTTTTGTCAGTGATTAGAATGGGCATCTATAAATCTGGCACATTATTCAAGGCTAATTGTCAGGCTGAGAAGTTCTACAAAAATGACGTTAAATTTAGTAATTCAGATCTCAATATAAATTATAGCACTTCATGTGGTATTTTGAAAGGTGAGCCTTCAAAACTGAAGCACGTATGGGATTTTGTGTTGGTATTTTTTTAACAAATACATGCTATTTTCTACATTTTCAATATTTACAGTGAATTTAGATATGGTCTATACAGCACTGCTCTAGCTCATTGCGATTCATTTATTACTTCTGGAACAGATTTAAGGGTAAATTCAACAGTTCACAAGCCTGAAGGACTGGAAATATTCATTAAAAAGGATATTCTCAGTGTTTTAATGGGCTCTGTAGTGTTTGCTTCTAGCTCTGTTATTTTCAGGTCTTGGGAGAAGTATCTGAAGTCATAATCCTGTGTATAGAAAAATGATAGCTTCTGTCTAGAGGTTTTGGCTACTTTGCCATCGGTACTTGGGGCAGACATATGTATCATGACAGACTTAATGTGTTGAAACTAGGAGTGGACAGTCTTGAGGAAGGGTTATGATGGTATTTATGTCCTGGTGTATCACACATGTAGGACTAATGTTAATTGCAGGGCCTGAAGCATATTTCCTAATGTAATACAAATGTTTGACTTCCTCAGATTAATGTGACTACTGTGAGGGAATACTTACCTGAAGGGGACTTCTCAATAATGACTGAAATGCTCAAAAAGTTTCTCAGTTTCATGAATCTTACTGTAAGTAGTACCTACTTAAAGATTAAAAGATGCAATTACTTTTTTTTTTTGTATTTAACTGTTCTTTCATTGCTTACATAGTGACAGGAATTCTGATAAAATCTTTACGGTATTTCTGGTTTTGAGCTTGTCTTTTGGAATGCATTGGGTGATTTTCTTCATTTTTAAATACAGAATGTCTATTTGTCAGTTCAGTTTTGCTAGTAAATGGAAAGGAAAATAGCTCTTTGTTTCCTTTTGAGTGTGCTGACTCGATAGAAAATATTTCAAATCCACAGCTTTGAAGTAAATTTTATTGTTGTCTTACTAAAATGTACATTTTAAAATGAGCATAGGTTTTAGAGAGATTTTTTTTTAATGTTTTATAAATGTATTTTTATTTCTTTCTTTTATTTTCTTTTACTTTTTCAGTGTGCTGTTGGAACAACAGGCCAGAAATCTATCTCTAGGGTGATTGAATACTTGGAACATTGCTAGATACTTAACTTCCGCTGCAAGCACTCTAATGCTGGAGCTACCCTTAGACAAAGGAAGAAGTCATGAAAGAACTCCTTGAAGATACACCATGAGCATTCATCTGTGTGATTCGTGTTCAGATTTTTAAGGCTACCTGGTCTCTTAACCATGCATCCACCGTTTTCTAAAAGACAGTTACTACATCAATCTGCAACTATCAAAAATCAGGGGAAAAGTTTCTGAAGAAAAGAGAGAATCCATGCTGTTTATGATGCAGTGCAGTCTTTAAATATTTCTGGCAGGGTTTACCCTCCTTTTTTTTTTTCTTTCCTTGCTTTCTTCACGACAAGTTTAAAGGGGAAAAACATGCTGCTGATAGTGCAACTGCTGTTTACTGTTGAGCCACTGTTTCATGCCAGCCAGGTGCAAAGGCAGCTTAGCTACTGAGGTATCATATGTTCTAATAAAGAAGTTCTGGACAGCAGCATCGCTCCTATTTGAGTTTAATTTGCTCTTGCTTTTTTATTACTAGATTATTCCAAAATCATAAAATATAAAATTTTTAATACTTTGTGATTTTAACTACTGTCTATATTTAAAATTTGTTGGAATCCAAAGAGGTGAGGATTGGATAGTTTATTTTTTATACTGTTTGATTGAAATTAGGTGGTTGAACTACTTCAGTTCTAAAACTGTCATGGCCCATATACTGTAAACTGATAGACCATAACACATCACAGTTCCAAGATGCATGCAGAAAACATAAACGCATCAAACTGTTTGAGGGTATATTATCAAAAAATGCAGTAACTGTAAGAAGTGCCCTGTTAAAGGACAGAGTAATACAATATTCAGTCCCAGGGTAGTTTACACTTCATACTAAGCAAAAACTATCAAATACTGTTTTGATTTGTTTCAGGGGAGCACTCAATATATATTTTATAATGCTCAATACAAAGAAATTGGATGTTTTAGGGGGAAAGTATTTAAAGAAGCTAAAACACCAATGGGGATTAATGTTTCCAGCTGACATAATCTTTCTATTTCATTTTTATGTGGTATGACAAAGTTAAATGCATACAACACAAAGCCTTAAATTGCTGATATAGCTAAGATTTTGTTCAGTCGGAGATCTAGTTCACAGCAGAATATTGTGTTTGAAGACTTTAGTGGAACAAAAAAATCCCAGAAAATGTGTGATTTTTTTTTTTTTTTTTTTTTTCCTTAACATTTCTTTTTTGTGCACTCATTATTCAGACCAACAAAATTGGTAATTATTTTTATTAAACTGGTCTTGAATATTGGCAGGCTATTGATCTGCTTCATCAACATTTAAATACCGGTGTAGGTAGTTGCATCATGTTACTCCATTGAATTTGTAAAACTTGAAGCCATAAAAATATTAGTTATATATATAATAAGGGGGAAATAACAGGAAATCTAACCTGCTTTTAGATCTTGTGTTATCTCCGTGTATAAAGTTACAAACTTGTGCTTTTTGTATCAGTGCCAGCTGTAAATTTTTTACATACAGTGGCTGCCTTCTATGTCTTCCTATTTTTGATAATGCAGATTGTTGGGAATTCTGTAAGGAAGTAACTGATTAGCGGCAAAATTCCTATGTTGGTCATAACTTTTTTACATTTTCTCTCATCACCTTCTAAAACGTAGTGTACCAGTGTAACTTAGAAAAGATTTTAAGCTTGTATGTCCTTTGGCTATAAATGTAAGTATATGAGAGAGGGAAACTGTGTATGTAAATTATCTCTGGCAAGATAAATTTATTTAATTTTTCCCACTTGCACCTGTGATTTTAGAGCAATGGCTTTTCATTTATAGTTGAATTTCAAAAAGAATGAAATTTTTGTTGAAGGTGACAAGGGATAGTAAGTCCATACAAAATGAGGAGAAAAGCAAGGATAAGTAAATTTCTCTGTTACACTGGTAATTTAATGAGAATTGATTTACCTCGGTGTTTAACAGTTTTTTAAAAATAACTAATTGTCAAGCACTGACAAATGCAGATTTTTTTTTGAGGGTGGGGGGAGAAATAAACCCTGTGAACTGCAGTGCATTTTTGTGTGTTAAACCCTCAAATAACTCTGCATTAAAGGGTACTTGAGGCCAACTTGCAAATTAAAGTTTTAAAGTAACTTTTTTTCCATTGTAAATATTTGTGTAAATACTCTCAATTGGAAACTAGAACAGTAGAGTACTTTTCTGAATCCAATCCTATTTTTATTTTATACAGTATTTCTCAGCTGTGATCTTTGGAGCAAAAGCCAACGGCAGGAAAAATAGTTTGTACCAGTTTCATGAAGTATGTCTTTGGGTTTTTGTAAATAATTTTAACTCAAATAAAATTGCTACTTTCAATACATATCTTGTCTTTTAACATGTAATAAACCCTGTTATCTCCATGAGACCCTGAAAAAGGAAAAGAACCATGTCTGGTAAATTGTCAAGAATGACTGTTGATATGAGATTTCATGGTAGTGCTCAATTTTGCATTGAGATGCTAGATACCAGCAGTCAGTTCATAGTCCCAGACAGTCATTTGTCCAAACTGTCAAGGCCTGGAAGTGTTTTGAAGACATCACACTTAGCTTCTTGATAGCAGTTCTGGTGTTCACCACACCATTCATCCACAAGTTGAATTTAACCTAACTTCAAGAGCTAACCTAGCTCTTGAAGTTGTTTCCACTGTTGGGGCTACACACTAAGACCTGAGGGTAATGGGAGCAGCTGTCACTGAAACTAATGCAAGTGTAATGGAATTTTGCCTTTGTGCTGCCAGGGGATATGAATAGATGTTTTATTGCTTCAGCATTTCTTCAATAGTTACAGTACTGTAAAAGTTGCCAATATCCGTATATACTAAAATGGATGTTTTCCTAGAAACTCCTTAACAGATTTGGTAAGAGAAATATTTCTGCTTTAACTGCATTATTTTTAAATGTGTAATGAAAGCAGTAGATCTTGAAAGAACCTCAGAATTTTTCAGATTAGTAAAACAGTTGTGAGGCTTTCCTAAAAGAAAATGCGTAAAATTAAATGGGTGATTTTAAGAATGGTGTTGGGAAAAGTTTGAAATACATGATTTACATAATGAGAAAGTAATCTGGTACACTTCTATAAATCACGGATTTATCAAAAGATTAATGTAAAAACAGATGTATGTGGTATTTTCCAAACTCATTTAATGAGGGGCTATTTTAAGTAACTCAATTGAACAGGAGATTGGACGGTTACTGCAAAGCTCTAAAATGCTGATTTTTCCACTTTATAATATCAGTAAAAGAAGAAAACTGAACAGGAACAGAATTCTTCTCTGGGTATTCAGTCCAAATTGTATAATTTCAGGCTTCATTACTTCAGTGAGGAAAAGATGCACAATGAGTGCAACTCTTTTCTTCCTTCATGTGACACCCTTCCTGTGTTAGACTCAAATGCTTATGTCCTTCTCCGCATGATACCCTCACTAAACACACATAGTCAAACTCAGCTTGTCCTGACTGCTACAAGGTTAGGTCTATCCCTTCAGTAGAATTATTTTTCCAGATTTTTCCTGTGTGGATTTGTCATTGCTAAAGGAGATGGGGGGCATAAGTGACTTGCTTATGCTACAACCAGAGGCTATACTGGATGCTGACAAATCACACTATCCATTTAAAAATAGTGGAAACCAAGAGTTGTCTTGTGCCCATATCAAGTTCTTGATCATAATCATAATCTGGCTCCTTAGCAGGCCTTTGAACTGGAGAGATGGGAAGGGGATTTCTTCTGCTAGCCAAATCCCCTTAAAAACAGGCCACTGTAATTTTGTCCCTCTGCTTTCTCCCTGGATACCTATTGGCCAAAACCCAGTGTAAAGAATGCTGCCAGTCTCCTCTTAGGCATGTGGTGTAGGCAACTGGACACCCACTTCTTGCTAGTCCTGATACAAAGGTAGTGGCTTCACTACCCACTTGTCCTTGATAAAGGTTTCAGGAGTGATAAGTGGGGAATGAAGTCTCTATTTGTGAAGACATCGAAACTAGAGGGTCACATCAAACCTATACCTCCCAAAGTCATGCAAGTTGTTGCGAAAAGATTGAAGCAAGAACCACATTCAAAGACAGACATGATAACTGATCCAATAAGTACTTAATAGGAAGGATAATTAGATGACTGGCAGGTGATTGAATCCATAGAATCCCAAGATACTTTGCCACATCATGTCTGCATGTTCTTCAAATATCTGATTTAAAAGATGCACTGTTTGTCCCTTTCAAAAAGGGGTACAATCAAAATGGGTTTTTACATTTGTTTTTATACTAATAAATAGGTGAAAAGTAGTACCATTAGAGCAAACAGTAATGAGTTGCAATGAAAACAGTATTACAATGTAATTCTGATGTAGGACATCACTTTAAAGAGACATCCTTTTGTTGAAGGATCAAAGGTTCTGCCCTTTCAGAAGTATCTTTAATTTAATTGCTTTAGCTCCTTTAACACCACCTGTGCTTTGCTTATAGCGGTGGTTCTCAACTTTTTTAAACCCAAGAAACCCCTTGGAAAATGCCAGCTCTTCATTTTCACTCATTTTTGACAACAGAAAAATAAAGCAATTCTTCTGTTGCAAAAGACTCCAAAAGACCACAATGCAGCAAAATGTTTTAGACCTGGGTTCCTATATGACATCTCTGGGTTTATCTTGTGGATTCTGTTTGCACACCTAGGAATGCTATAGGAATGCTAACATTACGTGGTATCTTGCATCATCCTTGACAGAATTTTAGAGCATCCCAGTGTGCTATGTCACCCTGGTTGAGAATCACAGAACTATGAAAGCTGTCAGAAGAATGTTAGGTTTTGAAAGACTAAAGATCTCAAATATCCTAAGTTTCTGATCATGATAACTTTTCCCCCAACTAATTAAAAGAACATTTCTCCTGGAAAATGGGCAGCATATGTGATAGAGTTGGGCTGTAATCCTACTGTATTAATGATTGGCTTACAGACAGTGGATTTAGCAGCCTTTGTGTCTTTTAGAGTTCAAACACTATAGTTGGCAGAATGTCTAAGGGCTGCCAATAAGGAAATGTGTTGTTGTTTTTTTGTTTGTTTTTTTTGGAGTCAAACAAACATTATTTAGAAAACACATTTTTGGCTGTTAGAAATCTGAACACTGCTAATTGATGTACAGTAAAAGTAACAATTAAGGTGAAGGGAATTTGTGCAAAAGTAGGGGCATCCCAACTTTCTTTTTTGCATGACAGATTCAGGCCTAACTATGGACTTCTAAAACATGCATCTCACTTCCCTTGGGAGTAGCCTTGTGTTAAGGTAGTTGGTGCTCTTTGTTATATTTTGTGGATCATTGCCAAGTTGTCATGCATATTTGGTTCTTCCAGGCAGTTTAGGAGATGAAAACACCAGATAAAATAACTATTTTGTACCATTTACTTTCCACTGTGCCATTTATTTTTGTTTATGGTCTGCTTCTAATTGAATGAAATTTGAATATAAACACTGGCTGATATTAATACAAAAGAAGGAAAAAATACTTCAGGAAATGGCTTGTATTCAATCTTTACTCGGAAGTACAAACTTTAAGTCCAAAACTTGTGTCTACAGAACACTGAGCCACAATTTGCAAAATAGCAAGATTATTATATAAACTATTATATAAATCTTGATGTCATTTTCCTGGTCTCATCTCTTATAGTTCTTCTATTTTCTCCTTAAGGTTTCAGCAAAGGATTTTGAGGTCTTATCCAAATTGAAAATGTCAGTGTCTCTGCCTAAATTAAAATGCTACATTCAAATTGTATTCTGATGGCAAAAAATTGAAACCACTGCTAACAAAAACGTTTAGTAAGCAATGTAATGATTCTCAAGTCTTTTCTAAGCTTTCTGCTGTAAGTGCATTAAAAGCCTGACACTACATCTCTTTTTAATATGAAAGATTTGATTTCACTAATAGAAAACTGAAACTGGAATTTCTATGGTTTGAAGATGCCAATTAGATTGTATAACTGATCCTAAGAAACTGGAGCTTAATTCTTTCTCATGCTACTGCATGGATAAATGACCTTAGGATTTTTCTGGTAAGTAAGAAAACTAAAGGGAGGGTTTGTGAGAAGCTCTTGGCTAGAGGTTAGCCAAAATGTCTCAAAAAAATTTCCTATTATAGTCTGGTCATATGAACATCTTGCAATAGTTTAGTTTATTTTCACAGTCTTAGACCAGAGGGGTCAAAGTGGTTCTCTGGGGAGTTTTACAAACTCTGGCTAATATCAGTAGAAAATTTGGATAATTGTATTGATTTAGTACTGTCTTGTCATATTAGCACCGCTTTGTAGATATGGCCAAAATTACTATACATTCAATTAATGCACTTTAGGTGATGCGCATTAAATCTCATACCTCACAGCATTTAGACACATGCTCTGGTGGGGGGGCACTTCAGAATGGCTCTGAGAACTGCTTGAATTAAAGCACCTAGAGCATCTTGTGTGTCAGTGTCCCCATGCTTCAAAATGGTGGCAGGGGCACTTTAGATAAAGCTTTAGATAAAATGCCTTTGCCACCATTTTGAAGCATGGGGACACTGATACACAGGAGGGAGCTGGAGTGCAGTACTCACCATGCTCCAGCAGACTTGTTAAATCAAGTCTGCTCCAATATGCTGTAATTACAGCACGTCAGAGCAGCCTCCCTGTTTGTGTGTAGGCACCCTCCATTGTGAGGTACTAGACAAATGCACATTAGCCTATTTTAATGCTCATTAGCTAAAGAGCACTTTATGATGCTTTAATGTATTAAAATAGGCTAATGCGCATTAAAGTGCATGTGTAGACATACCCTTTTGCTACCTAAAATGTATTCACTCAGGACCCAGTAATACATAGAATTTATGAACTTGAAACTCAGACTTTCAAGAGAACCTTCAAAACAACCTTCTGTTCCCAAAACTCAGTCTGGGACTGCCTTAACATCTGGATCAGACTTTTATGGCTTTCCTTTACGGCCTTCTCTACCTTGATAAAGCTTCTTCCGCTT